TTTAGTTTGGACTATGGATGACTTGTGGACCAAGATCTAAGTTCTAGAGAGTAGGGTTGGAGCCAAACCCGTAAATGAGGGTATTAACGGGTAAAGTTGGAAACTTTACCCTTAAAGGGACATTTTCAGTGTGTATGAGCAACAAGAAGCTTCGATCTGAAGTGTAGGAGCTTAATCCGTTAAGATGGCCCAAACACACAGAGGAACTCGTCAAGTTTATAGAGAAATTCGACGAGTTGTGGCGAGTTGTCCCAATGCTGAATATGGTAGAACTCGACGAGTCTAAGGATGACTTGACGAGTTGACTCGCTTAATCGCGATTATGACTAGCCAGGGAACTTGGCGAGTCAGGGGGATGACTCGACGAGTTGGATCGCGATTTCAGGGTTCTGATTTATAGTACTCGGCGAGTTGAGTCAACCCTGAACGTTGACTTTGACCAGGGGTAAAATGGTCATTTTACCCTAAGAAGGATTATCAGTTTTTGACTAAGTGTTATTGTGATAATGATATTCGGGGAGTCGTTGGAGCAGCCGTCATAGATTCCTCACACGAGATTTCACAGTTAGCTTACGAGGTGAGTTTCCTTCAGTAGGAACGAGTCGAAGGCACCAATGTCGGCCCGTGTAGAGTATGTATGATGGTTAGTAGCTAAGTGTGGGCAGGGCTCGTATCTTAGACTTGTTTATGATTAGTAGCTAAGTGTGGGTTGGGCCCATATCTTAGTATTATTTGAGTATGTTTATGAATTGGTAGATTATGGTATACTTGTTGTCTGCGTAATACTTGTATGTATGTTTAGATAGCGGGTTGTGGGCGGGGGCCCGTATCCTCCAGATAGAGGAGCGTGGGCGAAGCCCGTACCTCCTAGCCAGATGAGTGTGGGCGAGACCCGTATCTCATAGATAGTTGAGTGTGGGCGAGGCCCGTATCTCATAGTTGGCCGAGTGTGGTCGGGGGCCCATATCTCCATGAGTGTGGGCGATACCCGTATCACATAGCTCCATGTTATATGTTATGTGTATGGTATGTGGTAGTTTGGGGAGACTCACTAAGCTTCGTGCTTACAGTTTTCAGTTTTGGTTTCAGGTACTTCTGGTAGCAAAGGGAAGAGCTCGGGATGACTGCATTGCACACACCACAGCGTTTTAGCATGGGAGGATTTACTCTGATGTTTTGATATACGATTTGGATACAGTGTTTTGACATGATGTTTTGAGATAATACCACTTATGTTTTTATGTGATGATTGGATTACTATGATTTTATAATGATTTAAAACGAAATTTTTAGACTATATTTTTGGGGTGTTTCAGAATGTTTATATGTATGCTTCCGAACTACGGTTCGATGTCGGGTGGTACCCGATGAAGGAATGCATGCCTAGTTATACTTGTTGTCTTTGTGATACTTGTATGTGCCTGGTAGGGAGGTGAGTGTGGGCGGGGTCCCGTATCTCATCACTAGCCGAGAGTGGACGGGGTTCCATATCTCATCATTAGTAGAGTAGGGAAGGGGCCCATGATAGGCGAGGCCTTAGGACTAGAATATATAGTACTATGTATGATTATTTATGTACTAGCATGATTATATGTTGTTGTTTGTATGTGTATAGCGGGCGGGGCCCAGAGACAGGCGGGGCCTGATAGAAACAGATTTGTATACCGAGCGGGGCTCGATGCCAGGCGGGGCCTGATGTCGGACACTGTCCGATGCCGGGCGGGGCCCAGTTTATGTGATTATGTGTATGGTATGTGGTAGTTTGGGGAGACTCACTAAGCTTCGTGCTTACAATTTTCGGTTTTTGTTTCAGGTACTTCCGATAGCAAGGGGAAGAGCTCGGGATGACTGCAGTGCACACACCATGATTTTAGCCTGGGATGTTTTTACTCTGATATGTTTTGACAGATGTTTATGATATTTTGAGAAACAATAACTTATGACTTTCATGTGATGTTTGATAGCTATGGTTTAATTAATAATTAAAAATGAAATTTTTGGACCGTATTTTTGGGATGTTTCACTTTGTTATCATTGTGATCAGGTGGGCCATATGAAGGCCCAATGTCCCTTTCTTGCTGCTAGGCCGGTGCAGGCTCCAACGCCGGCTACTTTGAGGATCACAGATGGTAGTTAGGGTAGGGTGGAGCCCCCGAGTGTTCGAGGTCGCCCTTTTCAGCTCACTGCCGAGGAGGCCAGAGTAGCTCCAGATGTTATGACTGGTATGTATATGTTCATTATTCTGTGGATTATGTTTTATGTTATGATTATATTTATATGCCTTTGATAGGTACGTTCCTAGTGAAATCTTTGTCTGCTCTTGTGTTGTTAGACTTGGGTGCAAGTCGTTCTTTTGTATCTCGATCTTTCAGTATGGAGTTTGATAGGCCTATTGGGGAGTTAGAGTGTCTGTTGCGAGTTTCTATCGCCAACGAACATGGGGTTTCTGCATCTTTGATATATAAGGGTTGTGTGCTAGAGATCTTCAGGGTGCCTTATCTGATTGATCTGATCCTTATTCCCATGGGGGTTGTGTGCGTGATAGTGGGTATGGATTGGCTGAGCTGATTTGGTGTCATGATTGATTGTGAGGGCCAGCGAGTAGTAGTTCGAACCCAAGTGGGGGAGAACTGGTTATTTATGGAGAGGGCACCAGGATCGGTTCAGGGTTTTGTTCGGCAGCCAGGGCTCGTCAGTATATTCAGCACAGGTGTGCAGGTTATTTGGCTTATGTGGTTGATAATCGAGTTGGGGATCAGATTTCAGTTTCAGAGGTTCCAGTGGTCAGGGAGTTTGCTGATGTATTTCCGGAGGATTTACCCGGTGTGCCTCCCAAGTGGCAGGTCGAGGTCAGGATTGACCTTGTGTCAGGTGCGGCCCCGATCGCCAAGGCACTGTACCGCTTGGCACCGTCTGAGATGCAGGAGTTGTCATCTCAGTTGTAGGAGCTGCTAGGCAAGCAGTTCATCAGACCGAGCAGTTCTCCATTGGGAGCGCCGATATTGTTCGTCAAAAAGAATGATGGTTCACACCGGATGTGCATTGATTATCGGGAGTTGAACAAGTTAACGGTGAAGAACCGTTATCCCCTTCCGCATATTGATGACCTCTTTGATCAGTTGCAGGGTGCATCTTGGTTCTCCAAGATAGATCTGAGGTATTGGTATCATCAGGTGAGAGTGAGAGGGGAGGACGTGGAGAAGATCGCGTTCCGGACTCGTTATGGGCATTACGAATTCGTGGTGATGTCATTTGCGCTCACCAATGCGCCTACTGTGTTTATGGATTTGATGAATCGGATCTGCAGGCCAAAATGTATCTTCTCATGCATTTCTTCTATTGAGCTCACTTATCTAATCTCATATAAGTTACTTAAACTTATCTTGACCATTTTAATGAAATCACAACTTCATAAACTTTCTAAATGACCATTTTGCTCTTTTGGTCAATATTTGACTAAAAGTCAAATCTCTCCAAATTTTAGGTTCTTACAAACGGTATATTAGTCTTTTCAGTTTTTCGAGGGATCAAACACGCAAAAAAAAAAAAAAAAAAAAAACAACGTTCAAAAGGACCACCAATCCAATGTTTTAATGGTTTGGACATTTTTCCTGAAATAATACATATCACAATGACCATTTTTGCTCTATTGTCTAGATTATTATGATTAAATTATGTATTTGGTTATATATGTGATTTATAGGTTTTATAAGGATACATATGTAATTTGAAGTTTAACAATGATATATGCATAATTATGAAAGTTTTCAAAGATATAGACGAAATTTTCCCTTAATAGTAATTTAAATTCATAATCAAATAAAGAGAATTGCGAAAATTGTAGAAATCGAATTAAAAGTATATAATAGTCCTTTCAAATAAATTAGGGACCAAATCCACAAAACATATTTTAGACTAGTGATGCAAGTTGGAAACTTTTTTGGATCGTATTTAGAGTTTTTTGCATACCATAAGGACCAAAAATAGTAGTTTGCTCAATTTATTGTATAATGGAATTTCCTTTTTAATGATTTTTTTATTTGATTTTAGAGTTTTCCACATATACTCTTGTGTTATTATCTCTTTATTATATATCATTGGTATTTGGCACAATTTTCCAACAGTATTCACATGAAAAAAGATGGGATTATAGTTGTTTCCAGAATCCGAACTTTATACAACACCAACCACAACTCATTAAACACATATTCAATCATAATCACAATTTTATTATTTCTATTGAACCATTAAATAATCATTCAACTCTACTCCATGTCATAACTCACACTCTATTTGATCCCAGTCATGATCTTATTCAACTCTTATACTACTTGTATTGTGGATGCTCTAAGAGCCATCAACGGATGCAATATTTGACTATTGGAGACACGATTACATCTTATGCTTTCTCATAACTAGACATCATAGGCACTCAGTAGATGGCGTTGAGTATCTAATACATAATATTTGACATTTTCATAAAAGAATAGTCTCATGAAAAAACGATCGTGTCTCTGCATGAACTTAAACAAATCTATGTTTACTTTAAATATTGTTTCTTTTCTTTATTTTGTAGCGTAACACGGATTATAAACTTTAGTTTCCAAGTTAAACCCTTTTCTCTGTTTGCAAAATTTTGGGCTTGTGTGAAAGCCGAATTAAAATTCTTGATGTCAAGAATGTGGAGGAATATTTCCCAAAAGAAGTGAGATTTTACGTTGGGGCTTGTTATATAATGTAACACCAAGAATGTACAAAACACCCTTATCCTATTGTGATTCCTACCATCATTAGATTTCTTACATTCCAATTACTCATGGAAAAGACATAAGTGTGTGAAGGAATGACAAATTCCTGTGGAATTCAAATTCCATCGACTTTATACTATCTTTCGTTTGTTAAATAGAAATATGATACAGAACCCAATTTACTACGCACATTAATCGTCATCAAACTACACACATTTTCGATAAATCATGAAAAACAAGCAAGAAAACTAATTAAGCAGACAAACATCCAATCCCATATCGGGTGTTTGGAAACACCAAAAATAAACCACTACACACAACCCCAACCATCAACGGAAAACTCTGCATAACTTCATCCATTTCTTTCGTATGCCTTGGAAACAAACAGTTCGTAACCCTATGATCCGAGAAAGCAATCGCTACAAACACCATTGATGACATCATCGCATGAACAAAATCAGTGAACCCAAGTTTATACCTTTCGTCGTCAGGCACTTCCACACCTATGTCCGATTTAAACACTTTCAACCCCCATGGACTCACAAATCCATAGTAAATCTTCCCATCGGGCCCACGAAAACTGTCTGTAAAGTGAAAGAAGAAACACGACATAGTGCAGATTCCGAGGAGGACGTTGATCATCAAGGTGGTCACGGTGGTGCATTCGCCTTTCCCGTAGACGGAGGGTAGCAGCATCTCGAATGTGAGAAGGGTTCCTGTCGGGAGGAAATTTACGAGCATTGAAGTCTTCGAGAGTGTTTTCTGGACCCCGTTTGCCATTGCCCTCCGTCTCCGGCCACCGGTGGTTGTAGTGAAGTCTGGCGGTGGCATGGGTGGTGGTGACGGTGGTTGGTGGTCGAAGTTGGCTGACGAGGAGATGGTGTAGATTTTGATGCCATTGTCGTCGGATTGCTCCATTTTTTGGTTTAATCGGGAGATGGTCTGAAATTTTGGATTTGGTGCATGGTTTTTATGGTGATTATTGCAGTTAATGTAAATTCAAATTTTGGAAAGGCAGTTGATGGGCGGTTTAAATTTTAAACCGTCGCCGCCGGCGGTGTAGTTTGTAGATTTAAAGTTCAACGACTACTGTGTCCTGATTTTATGTAATTGCAACGATTAGTCCTTTCACTTTTGAACGTTATTACTGTTTCCCCCTTTAGGAAAGTATGGGAAATCTAAGGAAATCTTTTGTGATCTATCAAGAAGATATCACAACTATCGTTGATAGTAACTTAATAAGGGTCAATATTCTAATTTTCTTTTAATATATTATATTTTTGGATATATATATATATATATATATATATATATATATATATATATATATATATATATATTTCCAGAAAACCCCTAATAGTTTAACTTTATTGTTTTGACTTTTTCGTAAAAAAAAAAATCTAATTTTGTTTTTAGGAAAAATGTGGTCCTAACTTTTTCATTTTTGCTCATAATCTCATGTTCTTGTTGTTGCGTTCCTATGGTGTTATTGTTGTAGAAGGATATTCAATTGTATCTATCTTAGTTAATTTAGAAAGTAAAAATTATGCATATTCAAACTTCCATGAAACTATATAACAAAGAGAAATCAAATATTTTTTTATTTTTTTTCTCCTATCATCTTTCTATATTTAATATTGTGACACTTATTATATTTAATAAAATTAATAAATTTTTATTACACTTGTCATCGTTTAAAATTAGTAGGAGGATGGATAGGAAAAATAAGTAAAAAGATATTTAATTTCTCTATAACAAATAGTTATGGTTCTGCTAATTTCGAGATTGAAGGTTCTAAGTCTACCAATTTTGATTAGATCGTATCACAAATGTTTCTGTGTCTATTAATTTGGAGACCAAAGGTTCTGCGTTTGCTAATTTGCAGACCGAAGATTCTATGTTTACTAACTAAAAGTTTTGTGTATGTTAGATTTGAAAATAAATAACAATAAAATGTTTAACAAATTTGTTGAGTACATTACTATAGATATGGCTATTAATGGTGAAAAATTTGAATCTCAAATAAGTTTATAATGGATGAAATTTTGATCTAGTAAGCTTATAATGGTTAACATTAATTCTTGATTTTTTTTTTTTTTTTTTTTTTTTTTTTTTTTGGTAATTTACTGACCATATTTTTGCAAATGAGTTGATGTCAATTTCGTTTTTCCCACCAGGTAAAATCATGTTGTTTGTTTTTCCAAAAACAAATCTATATATTTTTCAGATTTTAAACTTGATATTATCATTTAGGCACTAAAAATTCAACTTGATGCAAAAATTAGTAAGAATCCATGATAACTAATAAGCAAATATTTATGTATCCCATTAGTTTACACCTCTATCGCAAACACACACAAAACCTACAGAATCCCTTCCCAACTTCCAAAATTACAATATTTTACATATACCTAACAATAACATTGATCAAAACAATTTTGGGGCTCTTGTTACAAGTTAATAATCAAAATCAATTTTAGTCCTTGCAGTTATATATACACACACACACACCCCTTACCATTTTCATCACTTCTTTCTTGAACTTGATGCTGACTTCGAACACCCAACCCCATCACCACCACCACCACCATTCTTCAGTTTTCCGGCGAAATCCTTACCAGAGTTCCCCTTCAAGGAAAGACCTTTTTTTATCCGATTCCGGTTAATTACCATCATGCCACTTCGTGATGGTGCACTCAAAGCCCCCTCAACACAATTCCCCGCCTGAGCGCACCGCCAGGGGCGAGATGGTCCATCCTCACGAAAAGTTTTGAGGCGTGGAACCCCCGAGTTTTTCAATTTTGACAAAACCCGTTGTTCAGGAGAATTTCTAGGTTCAGATTTAACACAAATGGGACACGGAGGATCGCCTTTGTGTGTTTTTGGTGTTGTTTGGTCCAAACATTCTGCATGGAAGACATGGCGGCAGGAGAGAACTCCGGTCACCGGAAAATCTCCACTTCTGATGATCTGGCGGGAGCTCCATGGTGATCTCTGGGACAAAAACCGGTCACAGAGGCCACATTTATCCCCACTTGATCGATTAATAACATCAGATTCGATTGGTTCAGAAACATCGGAATGCTCAAATTCACAACTAGCAGCATCGGAATCGTTGATTCCGATTCCGGAGTTGGTTCTTTCAACTGGAATGGACAACGGGTGGACTGGCTTTGACATGAAGCAACGCCGACCATGGTGGGATTGAGAAGATAATGATTTTACAATTGTCTCAAAATCACTACTATCTGAATGAGATGAAATTGAAGCTCTTCCTTCATTAGGAGCCGAAACTCCCTACAAAAAATTTGGAAATTTTTAGTTTGGGTGTAATCCGACAATGACTCGAAGTTGAGGGTATCAAAATGTAATTATACCTCAGAATTTGGCGAAAATGATAACGGCCCCAAAACTGCAAAATGTAGTCTTTTTAGCAGATCATGTTAATAAGTGAATAAGCATATAATAGTATATTTAATAATTAATATTACCTCTTTTTGATGAATTGGAATATTCATCGAGGCTGATTTCTTGGATAGTAGGTGGGGTCCACTGTTGGTTTGGGGATAAGTCGGATGGGGTGCTAAAAAGTGCTCCAATTCCATCAGAAACAGAATGCCGATGATTTGGTAAGTGATTTGTTCTTAACCAGTTTCGACTTTCTCTACTGTTTGAAGATGTAGAAGAACCGTATAAACGGTTTCCTTCTTGGGAACCGAATGATTGAACTTCGGAATGGAATCGGAAATCCCATCTTGGTGGTGGAGGAGAGAAGCTGGTGTTGGTTCGCCAGTAGGGCTCGTGTGGGCCCATGGACCAGTCCTGGCTAACCGCATTCGACCCATCATGTGGCCTGGCAGCCACACAACAGAGAGACCCCGTTTTAGCTATCTTTTGTCACACGGGTAAATTAGTCTTTTGTATGCTTTCTTCAACAAAGAACATATACGATAAAGGATGATATAATATGTTTGATTTCAGAGTAGAAGCCCTGGAATTAAAGAGAGATAAGGTTATTTACGTAATTTATGGAGTATTGAAGAAGAAGAAAGTGATGTCATGATGTGAAGTCATATATATCAAACAAGATATGGCATCACATGAACCAGACGTACACAAGAGAAAAAACATATACGTACTAAATTAACTACTTTAGAAAGGTAAATAAGCAAGAAGGACAATATCAAGATTCAAGATTCAACTACCAAAGGTCAAACAAAGAACATATACAAAGAATACATAATGTGAACTCGTTTATCAAAAAATATCCGGATTCAATTCAACTACCAGAGAGTCAAGTTTGACTTTTGTGATTAAGAATTTAAGAGCAACAATTCCCAAACTAGAAAATGGAAGGGATATGAGGAAAAAAAACCTCGCCGGTCGCCATGACCACAGCTATCACATAATTGAATTAATTTCAGTCCAGAGATGATTTTTGACCATGAAGTAAATTATTATTTTCTAACTTTTTTTCTTCTCTGTAACCAAAGGAGTAGGTCATAGTTCATCTAATAACTTCAAAGTTCCAACTTTATGATGCTTTGCGATTCAATCGAAAGTAAACATTAACTAAAACGACCACAACAGGGTTAAAATTCAGAGAAAATGGTGAAAAAGAATAATTATAGATATGAAAACACGATGAGCATACATTCTATTAAACCGCAAAAAGGTTCAGGATACCATATGAGCAGTATAGAAACCCTAAGAAGATTTACCGGTATGCAAAAGGGGAAACAGCATAAACACAAAGAGACGAGAGAAAGTGTGATAGCTTGTGCGTGTACTTGCTGTTATGATTATGGGATTTCGAGCGAGGCGATGGAGATGATGATGGAACTTTGATGGCGTAGTCTGCGGAGAAAAACCCTAATAAAACGGAGAGTGAGCCATTGTTTTACACTTTTACTTACCCCCGTTTTTGCTTCAGCTCCTTCTCCTGTCTTGGACTTTCTTCTCTTTTTTTACTTACCTATTTCTAAGCTATATGTTTAATTTTAACAAAAAAAAAAAAAATGTAACCAACATATATATCTTAGTCCCATGTAAAGATAGCAAATTTTGTTTGGTTGTTCGGTTAATATTTACATTATTTTTATATTGAAAATTGATTTGTTAGGGTTATTATCTTTTTGTTTTGTTTATATCTGGGTAATTTTTTATTTTTAGTATGTGATATAATATACTTTATAACATACTTTTTTTGTTCACATCTGAGTGATTTTTTATTTTTATTATGTTATATAACATACTTTTTTTTAAGTGTTCACATAGGACCATTACAGTATGTCATAACAGTCATATGTTAACACTTCCAACAAGTTCGTTACCTATATGTATACAAAAAAAGATACTCAGATGTGAACAAAACGAAAAAATAATTGTCCTAATAAGTCAATTTCCCTTTTGAATAAGGGTGTCGATCATAATGTTTGCAATATTAATAGATTTATTTAAATTTTCTTAAAACAATATTTATGACGATATATGAACATTTATATTGGTCACGACATGTTAGGAGTCATTTTTGGTAGCGTAATTATCAAATCGTTCTATACATACGATACAAGATCAATGATCGATTGAGATTTTAATACATGGAACAAACTTTATTGGAGACAGTGTTCTTTTTTATGTCATTAGTCTCTATCTTTGGTATTTTTAGTCTCTAGTAAATTTTAATTTTTATATTTATTATCTTAAACAATAAAATACTATATAATGATGATATGTTTTTTTCTCTGTCATATCTAGGGTTTTTTTTACCAAAGTAATGGATTTTAAAAAGATATTTAGCAAAATGGTGTGGTTTTAAAAATATTTATCACTTAGGTTAAATTTTATACCTAATCAAAATTAGAAGGTAAAAAAATGGGGAAATTGAATTATCAGGGTAATTACCTTTTCGTTTTGTTTACATTTTGGTAACTTTTTTTGTACACATTTAGGTAACGAACTTGTTGGAAGTGTTCACATATGACCATTATGACTGGCTGTAACTTGCTACAACCGGTCATAATGGTCATATGTGAATACTTCTAACAAATTCATTACCTAGATGTATACAAAAAAATAAGAAGTTACTCATATGTGAACAAAACGAAAAAGTAATTACCCTGATAAGTCAATTTCTCTTCTTATATTTGTATATATAGATGTGGACCAAAACCTTTTAGTTTAAAAAAGGTTTGTTTTTTTATATCAAAACATATTGACCATAGATTATACGAAATAAACAAACCATATTTACATACATATGTTAATCATATTGATTTCAAGATGATAGTAAAGACGATGATGGTTGTGGTGGCGGTGGTGTTTGTGGCAGCGGCGTAGGTGGTGGTGGCGGCGACGGCGATGGCAAAGGTGGTGGTAGCAATGTTGGCAGAGGTAGTAGTGGTGGAGTGGTGATGTTGTCGATGATGGCAGATGTGATGGTTGTGGTGGTAGCACTAGTGACATAGTGGTGGTGGCAGTGTTGGTGGTGGTGGTGGTGGAGGTGGTCATGGTTGTGGCGGAGGTGGCAGAAGTAGTGATGGCGGATGGGGGGAGGGGGTGTGATGGAAAATGTAACGTATGTGAGTTAGGGCTAGACGTTAAGGGAATAATAATAAATATTTTTTTATCAAATAAATTAAAATCCTCAAATAGGATAAATTTTCTTCGTATGTGTATGCGTTACAGGTTATATAAATACTTATTTATTATTATATACGTGTTATGTGGACAAATATTATGGATATATAATATTTGTATAAATCTTGTTATAAACTTATCGAAAAGTGATAAAATAACATTTTTGTATAGAATATTATTTAGGATAAATAATCCTAACGAAAATTGTAACGATTGTAAAATCTCAAACTATATAAGACGTATTTGGTCTAAATACATATAAGGGTGAACCCAAGTAGTGAAACGATAATTTTTCCGTTTTTGGATAATAATTGACCGGGTACTTTTTATGACGTTAGTTATCGAATTAAATAATGTAGATAAGATTGAATTAAATAATGTGGATAAGATTGTGGATAAGAACAAATTAAATAATGGATAATAACGAATTAAATGATTTGCATAAGATTTTATTATAAATGGTATAATGATTTTATTAATAAATAGTTAAGGGACCATAGTGTAACTTGAAAGATATAATGTGTTAATACAAGAATAACCGAGGGACCATAAATGTAACTATAATTGAATTGTGAATTGCAAACCAACATAAGAAAGTGTAAGAAATATAAGAAAGGTCGTACATATTTTATTAATTAAAAATAACACGCGTTGTTTAAATATGTGATTGTACAATAAAAGGCATTACGTGTTTATTTAGAGGGACACGTGTTAACTCTTGAGATATCGTGTCAATAATGCCGATGATTAAGCTTTTAGATTGTACGGAGGATAATCAAATTTTGAGTATAAATAGGCAAACCATCAATATTTTCTATAAAAACAAATAAATATATCGTAAAGAAGTTTTGAGAGACCAAGGAGTATAAAAATAGATAAGGTTTCGGCAAAATAATAAGTTGGAAATCAGTGCTAACCTTGATGCCACGACAATAGTTAGTCTGCACTAACTAGCCAAGTGAGTGCATAGTTACTTTCATCTTACACATAGATATGAAGTATTTAATAATAATACGTTCTATATGTGCTTATTATCTGTGTTCTTGATATCTATGCTAGATGAACGATTTATACATGTTTTATTTGATTTAAACTATATATGTATTTTATACCTATAAAATATTGGGTAGAAATAGGTAGATGAATGATGAGAGATGAAAGATGATATAGATGAACATTGGCAGTTATGGACTTAATGACCTATAGATGAACATTGGCAGCTGTGCCACAACCTGTAAGTGTTTTTGAACTACGTGTTCACCAGATGTACTCTAAAAATCCTAGCAGCTGCGCCTGAAGGATAATATTGGCAGTTGCGCCTAATAGAGAACATCATAATACTGACAGTTGCGCCTAATAGATAGCATCATAATCCTGGCAGCTGCGCCTAATAGAGAATGTCATAATCCTGGCAGTTACGCCTAAATGATAATATTGACAGTTGTGCCTAATAGTAATAAATAACGTTGGCAGCCTGAATTACATCGAGCGGCCTGTAGCAATCCTTGACCGGAAGTCGAAGGATCTGAGGAACAAGAGGGTCGAGCTGGTAAAGGTGCAATGGCAGCACCGGAAGGGCTCGGAATGGACTTGGGAGTCGGTGGATGAGATGATGGAGCATTACCCAGAGCTTTTCCAGGAATGAGCAGCAGACTTCGAGGACGAAGTCTAAAATAAGTGGGGGAGATTTGTAGCACCTGGTTCCCGGTATGTATTTTATTTATGTATTTTGCATTTTTGGCCTGGGACTCGGCGAGTTGAAGGACCAACTCGTC